CCTGTCTGGAGAACTGATCTATCCCAGATTACCCGATACACAATGATCGTCACGTTTCCCAGAACTGCGAGAATTGCAACAATCCAGAGAAGAAATCGCTGAATATCAAGCCCTATAAGGTTAGCACACGAGGAAATGGCGTCTACGTCTACAGGAGCCACACATGCTCGTGGGGAAATTATTAATCCCTTAATCTGAGGACAGCAAATCTGGAAAAGATCAGAATACAACGTCTGGCTAATTGTGAGATCATGAAATAAATAGTCGTCGATATCTTGTGCAAGAATACCTCGTAAATCTAATGTCTGCAGTTTCAGCGTTGGGCTGAAATATTGTCTCGTAAAGTCTGAAATCAATGTGTGGCTCAAGTTGAGGTATTTTAATCTGGGCAGTTTTGCAAATACTGAGTCACTTAGGTAGGACAAACTTGTGTAAGAAAGATCAAATACTTCCAGAAAACTGAACTCTATGTTTGTTACTGATTTCAACAACTGATTGTAAGACATATTCAGATAACGCAGATATTGATACTTATAGTTGTAGTTGTTTGTAGAAAATATTTTAAACTTATTGTAGCTAATGTCCAATTTCTCAAGCACAAACACCTTCAACGTTTTCAGGTGGAATTGAGCTGAGTTCTCAGATAACTCACTGAGTTTGCAGTTGGACAAAATTAGAACTTTCAAGTTGAAAAATACATCTATGATGTAAAACACAAGTCTTGTCATGTCCCGAATTTCTACCCCTGATAGGTCTATGTATCTGGTCCGTGGATCTATACCAGACAGACTGTCTTTACCTAAAGGAAATGATCGGGGGTCAGCTGACAATATCACTGTTCCTGCAATACATCGGAAACCTTCAGGACAAAATACATCGCAATCAAGTTCATCATCACTATGTGGACAATCAGTGTGTCCATCACAAACTAGGTCAGGATGAAGACAGATATTGCTGTCCCAGCAAGCAAAATATCCAGTACATCGACCAGTGTATAGCAGTTTTTCGTCTTCTCCTGTAGGACAGTCAGCTCTTCCATCTCGAAGATAATAATGAGGGATACAGTACGAGTTATAACATTTCACATATCCCCTGACCACACTGAAAGTTCTCACAGTCTCTAAGATGGGACATATCTCTGCATCCGACGACACCTCCGTATCTGTCTTTGATATAATGACATTTTGGAGCCCATATATTATGTCCAAACCTATTCCTGCAAGTGTTTGATGGCTCAAGCTTCCAAAAAGTGTTTGCTAATCGTCCTTCGGGACCTTTACAGTCTTTTACTGAATCGTTAAGCTGAGATTCTTCTATACATATGTCACGGTTACATGAAAATACACAGCTTTTGTTATTTAGTTGAGGGAGGTTTTCATGAAAGCTTTCGTCACTCGCCGTACATTCGGAAGAACTAGTTATGTAAATGAAACAGTCCAAATGCCCATCATTGACCCACTGTAGAGGCAGACAGGAACCGTCTTGACATCGTACACTTTTACAGTCTTTATTAAAGCAGTTTTCTTCGTCGCTACCGTCTCTACAGTGTTTGACATTATCACACATATATTCTTTGGTGAGCAGCTTTTGTCCCGAGGCGCAGAACATTCCATTATACTTGAATTCTCTTAAATTCCAACACAGTAGTTCATCCCGCTTGTTGCTGCAGTGATCAACAAAATCACAGACCTTTTTATAGGAAACATATCTACGATCACCGACCTCTTCCCCACAGTCAAAGATGGGAAAGTCTATATTTGAATCTTTTAAAAATTGAAGAAACTTGGGGTTTGGAACATTTGCAGACAGAGACACAATATTAGTTTCAAAAATCAGAAAATGTTCTTTCTCATTTGCAAAATCAGTGATATTTGTCTGGAACAGGTACACTAAAGACGAAGTCAACATCGTCAGTCTTTCGTGGAAGGACAACTTCACATAGTCGTTCAGAGTTTATTTCTGAAAGACAGTTAATATTTATCCATCCTTCACTGACACTGTTGTTATCGTTGTCACTTGTAGTGGTGTTTGTAAACTGCCACACCACACAGTCATTGTCCTTACAGTTTGTACAAGGTTGTCCAGGCAGCCAGTGATGAAACAAAACAGGACGAAACTGTCCTAGGCTGGTCACCCACTGAAATCGTTTTCCATAATTACCTAAATCTCTAGTGAGGCCAATATGAAAACTGATGTTAGGTAGGTTCAAATATTTGAATTGTTTTAATAACTGCTCCTGTAAAAATAACATTTCATCTTCAGTTTTAATTCCTGCCAAATTTCCACCAAAACTACGTTTGCAGTGTTGTTGTGCTTCAGGCCATATAGCTTCTTGAATGTATGCGGATATTCTGAAGCAGGTGAGCATACTAAGCCCCGTTGTGTGTTTAAATAAGACCCATCCTGGTCCACACATTCCACACATCGCCATCAGTAAATACTTTCTGAAAGACCTGATGTCCTCGTCTGGTAAGACAAGAGTGTCAGCCAGGTGCACAACTTCCTCTACAAGTTTACTACCAAATATCACTGTAAAGATCTTCACTTTTAAACTGAGCTGTTGTACAATAGAGGGAACGTTTCTGATCTCTTCTTGTGTCAGACTTTTACCATTTAGAAAGACGATCCCAACATGAACTGCATTTTTTCTAACTCCACTCATTTCACCAAACAAACGTTCAATAATTTGTATTTTTATCACCAGACGTGATTTGATATCTCTGATGGGTACTTCCAGAACGTTTGCTTTAGGGACTGTGTACACGTTAAAAGATGCAAGTTTTCCATGAAATCTCCAATGGCTGACATTTATGGTATTGTTGTGAGCACCGAATTGGTCAACCACGAAGGCTAGCATCCACTGTGAGATGTTTCCATTTGAAATGTTCTTTGGTAGGTCCCATTCCATCTTAGATATTAAAGAACTCTGCCATGTCATTCCGTCGTCGTCGTCCAGCAGCGACAATAAGTCCGTGTCATCTTTGTGGCAGCCTTTCAGCGGAAAGTGTCCCTTTGTGCTGGTACACATCCCTGTAAGGAAAGTGTCAAGAACATCATTATGTGCACACATGGTTTACTTATGAATGTTTAGGTGATTATGTTCTATGGGCAGCTATATAAATGGGAATGTGTGTAAAAAGGCATGCAAAAATCAGTTTAAAATAAAAGAAATATAAGCTGAAGACAGATTCATACATCCGTGATTGTGCATATGGATATCTATGTATCATCAGTTTATAGCAGATCCTTGAAATATATGGCTGTAATTGTAACGTATAGTATATATTCTCCTTTATATGTCTCTCGAGTTACCTCGTGTATAGCCATGCTAAATGTGTTTTAATTTCCTTTGTGCACGTTCATGTAGGTCTATCCCTGCCTCTTCTCCTGTCGTGCTCTCATTACTTTCCAAACTGTTCAGATGTTCAAAATTCTCAAAATATTTAGCCGATGAGACAAATAATATTTTATAATAGTGAACATCAATGTTAGGATCAATTTTCAAACCGTTTGTGCACCCTCTCCCCCACCCCCTCGCCCACCCCTTTTTTCCCCTGTAAAACATAATTTCAAAAGTTTTAATTTTTGCTTTCTAAAGAAAAGCATTGCTAAATGCTTGGTGACTCACATCCGTATATTTTCACAGAATCACAAGGCAGAAACATCCTTGTGAAGAGCTTGATTGAAGACAGGATGTGATTTTGGACGAACTTTAGAAATACCATGGAATGGCAAAGTTGCTGATTAGAGACACTATAGAAAGCCTGACTGCATACATACCGTGCATCTTGTGGGAAGATCTGGAATTGATGTTTGGCCTAAGGCAATTTAAAAAAAAAAAACTTTAATAGATATTATCTTTCAAATAATGCAAAATAATGGCAAATTGAAACTGTGCACCAACGGTTGCGCTACGGTCAGCATCATCCCCAAAAGCTCTAGTTAGATCTTGTTGGATCATTCGTGATTTACCATCGTGTGGTACAGAAGCAGCCAATCTATCGTTCCCCAACACATCCGCATGACTTAGAGAAAATATCTAGAGGAAGCTTATGTCTCGATGTCTCAACAGCTATGTACGCTATTGTAAACAAAGCATATATGTCTCCACCTTTCCAGTCAGCTGTGTGAGTCCGTTACAATCTTGTGTGTACATCTAGCTTTCAAACGACACACATAAAATATGACTAGATATATGTTTTTTCCTGACAAAAACATAGTTGATTGGTTGTTTGATTTATTCAGCGAATGAACATTATGTCAGACGTATGTAACCCATAAGTGCTTCGGTTCTATTTCTAACTCAAGCCTGAGTCTGAAAAATCTCAGCGCAGTGCACTAACTCCGTTGCACCGGCGAGGATCATGAAATAATTTTGGATATATTTCTTACCCCAAATTTTGCCTGGGAAGCGCCTTTAGGCTACTCTGTTTCGATTTCCAACTGCCGGTGTATTTTTTACGTGCGCTACAATACACACGGGCTTCTGATCTTACTATCCAAAGACAAGGGGAAAATTATTAGAAGCCTACGTGAAAAAATTCAAGCCCTTACTGGGGTTTGAACCTGGGACCACCTTCATCACTCGAGGTGGATGCCATACCTCGAGACCACTCAGCCACCCCCCCCCCCCTCTTCCTTTTAACAAAAACATGGTGCCCCTAAAACAAATCCTACAGTTTATTAGATCTGATTTTAGCATTACAACGTCTCCCATTTTGTTCCAAATGCAGAAATCAAATATGCTTTTGATTTACGCTGTTGCCACTTGTCAAAATGTCAGTAAGGCATGCTTCAGGTAAAAGTTGTAACTTATGAGAATAATCAGATCCAGACTGTCAGTGTTTGTGGACTTGTTAAGGGAACATGTAAACTCGAGAGCTTGGTAACAACTGGCAAGATTGATGGAAGAACAGCAAGATGGCGACAAGTAGATAAATACCTGTAGAGTAAGGGCAACGTATTGGGAGAGTAAAAAACCATGTACATGATCCGTGATTCCGGTGATCGCGGTAGGTGGCGAAACAAGGCAGACTTCGCTTGTCTGCCGGCACATGATGATGATGATGATGATGAATTTAAGAAATGAGTACATACCATTTTCTGCAGCCAAACATGAACATCAGGATCATGCAAATAAACAAATTAGATGTCATCTTTGCCTTGTGTAGAAACGTGTGCAGCGTCAATGTAGAAGATAGAACATAATTAAAACAAAGAGATATCTTAAGGTTTTAAAAACATGAAAAAAGCATCGACTTGTGAAGTTGTGAGTTAATCAAACCACGTTTGGCGAGGCATACGTTTTCCTAGGACTAGATATTTCTGTATGCTGCGCACAAAAGTGGTGTGAGGGAAGAGACGCAGAATTGTCTGTTTATATATGCCCAGTTGGCTGTTTGCATTGTAACCTAACTAAATATTTAACGTAGCCTCTTATACAAGATCCATTCTTTACAGTGCGTGTACCATTTGGTTAAAATGTCAGTTGCGATTGTTCCAGCACTCAAATAAAGGTTCATTTCTATTCAATAACCTTTACATGTTTACTCTGTTTTCTACTCTTTATCTCCCGTCGGAGCATAGGCCGTCACCTAGCCCTAATGAAGTTTTCTGTATCATTTACCACTTCGTGCCACCCGCTCCTTACTTGTATCTTTCCATTTGACTTTTTTTTAATGTTGAATCTTTTCCTCACGTTCCGATAATAGCAGCGTTCATTTCTCAAAGTGCGTCGTTCTGTTCAAGAATGTCATTTTTGCTAAGATATTTTGGGATCGTCTTTGGAACAATGAAGATTGTGCTTTTTGAGACTATTTCTGCTTGCGTCTAGTCGTTATGTGAATAGAGGTTGTTGCGTTTGCGATTTAAAAAGAAACATGTTGCAATGAAATTGACATTCTTGATTGTAAACGTTTCTACGTTGTTTTTTTTTTTTTCTCTAATTTAAAACTACAATTTATGTCTTTTATTTACCTCTGCATTGGAGGGTTATTCTCCTACATTTCCTTGGCTGATTCAGTTACAATGTAAGGACATTCTAGCTGTTTTATTTTCGTTCGCGTCTCATCCAGTGCTTGTGTCTCTGTCAAAGCAGTTAGGGAGGGGGAGGTGTGGTCTCAAAGCATGGTTTCCGCCTCGAGTGCAGGAGGGCTGGGATTTTTTTCACCTGGACTTCTAGTAATTTCACCTGGTCTCTTGGTAGTAAGATCGAGCGCTCGTGTGTATTGTTGCGTGCGTAAAATAACCATGGTGTTGAAAATCGAAAAAAAAGAGTAGCCTAACGGCGCTACCCAGGCAAAATTTAGAGTTAAAATTCTACCCACAGTATTTCAGGATACTCGTCAGTGCTACAGTGTTCGGGCACTACACTGAGATTCTTCAGCCTAAGCCTTAAGACAGAAGTAGAACAAGAGCACCTGTGGGTTTACAACACCACAACACAACACGCTTGTGCCGTGACGTTTATCTGTTGTCTTAACCAACTTAACCATCATGTGACAGTTATAAAGTATGGGATCCGAAGACCAATCAGCACTTCAGTAGGTTGTGTGGTTATCATTATCATCAAGCCGGCAGACATTATTTTCCACGGTTTCTTGTAGGCGCCCTTAAATCCTTGATCCATTTATTTCCCATTTTAGTGCTTGTCTAGTGATTCTCTGCTGCTTTCTTTTTAGGATGTGTCGTTTGTAGCGCCATCTTCTGTAATCTAGGGTTAACATGTTTTGACAAATGCTTGGAAGAGTGTGAGAATTAGTCCTTTTTCTCAAGGCATGCTGATGATTATGTTTATGTTGATGATAAAGTCTTTGATGCTGACAATCATGATGTTGCTGCTGCTGCTGCTGATGATGATGATGATGATGATGATGATGAAGGGGGGTTAAAGAAATTGATGTTAATGATGAAATTGATGCTGGTGTTGTTGAGGATAATGAGATTCTACCGTTATGTTGCTAACAAGGCCACATAAAGCGCGATCAAATATTTATATATCACCATGATGAATGTGAAAAAGTTAACTTCCAACCCTAACACAAGTATCATTTGATTTCCACAAATTATTTATGAATGTTCCAAGGCTACAGGAGTTCATTTGTTGATTTGACCGAATATCCACATTTTGTGTTAGTAAATATTACAAAAGCGCATACGTACACAGAGAAATCTACCATTGAACAATTGTGATGACGTTGATGGAGGAATTTCACCAATCAACTAAACGTGGCAAAACACAACAGCTGGAAATCATCAAAATTACATAAGCAATTTGGAACTGTCTCCATCTCCAGAATGTCACCCATTGTGGTCTCTTCACGTTCTCTCTAGACCAGGAATTGTTTCCATACATCTGTCCCAATCATAAACTATAGACAGCCAATTAGTCGCTCATATATTTTTCAAGTCCTGGTATGTGTCCTTGATTCTTTCGTTGAATGTCGCTAAATAAAAGAATGATATTAACCGAATGGGAGATATTTGCGTGAACAATAACTGTTCTGCTTATGTTGTGACACATTCATGATTAATTTGTAGACATCAAATGTTATTCTGACATTTATTGTTTGGAACTAATCATCATCATCAGTCAGCATGTCTTTTACTGAAAGTCGCTCGTTTCACGGCTAAAGCTATCCAATACCCAGCCCTATGTGCTTTCATACTGAAATCGTTTTCGTTATCCTGTATCCACGATCCCTGAGGTCGACCTCTGTTTCTTTTTCCATAAACTGCAGTCTCTAGTGTCGTTCTCGCCAGACCATCGTCGCGCTGGACAAGACTTAAATACCTCAGCTTTCGGGAACTGATGCTGTCTATCCATTGGCGAGCTGGTAGATGACTTTATTGCCGGCTGGGACAGAATTTGGGGTCTGTCTCCCACAATCGCATCAACGCTGCAACAGTTCTTTTCAGAGCTACATGGTGGCGAGTAATGACAAGCCATTGTAAGTAGCGCACATAATCTAGTTACAATTATAACTTAAAGCTCCCTATTCGGGAATGCTGGTTGAACGTGCGACCTCCCTCCCCATCGCCTCCCTGTGAAGCTGCCACCATAACCAGCTGTCTATGAGCCAGATCTCTTTGATGTGCAGGTCATGCTGGATGTCGACTTGTTTCCTCTTTTTGGTCCACGGTATTCTAACAATATTTATGTAGCAAAACGTAATGAGTAATGTCTCGGAAACCGAAGAAATACCAGCAGACTGGAGAAAAGGATATCTTGTGAAACTGTCCCCCAAAAAGAAGATCTACAGGAGTGTGAAAACTTTAAAGCAGTTATTTGCTGTCAGTCCGGGAAAATTTTAAGTAACATTATTTTAGAAAAGACTAACAGTTGCTATTGATAAAAAGCTAAGAGATAAACAGAGAGGTTTTCGGTCAAACAGATCCTGTACTGACAAGATGGCCACATTACGTATATTATTAGAGCACAGCATTGATCTGAACTCACCATTTTACACTGGATTTATTGACTATGAAAAAGCTTTTGACAGCATTTAAAGGGAATCTCTGGAAATTAATGGGACACAGAAAATTATCAACTTAGTAAAGGCAACATATAAAGAAATGAAATGTCAAGTTCTTGGTGAGGGAAAACTAACAGACACATCTGAAATAAAAGCAGGTGTTCGACAGGGGTGTCTTTTTGTCGCCGTTCCTTTTTGTACTGGCAATAGACTGGATAATGAAGACAGCAACTGCTAACACCAGGAATGGAATTCAATGGACCCCTACAAAACAGGTTGATGATCTCGACTTCGCTGATGACATTTGTCTTATGTCCATTCATTTGATGTGAGATCACAGCAGCTTGGTCTGAAAATCCCTAATGGAAAGACACAAATAATGAAAATAAATCAAGCGATTACTAATGTGGTCCCTTAATGTCACCCCACGCCAAGACGTGAAGTCGTACACCTATTTGGGCAGTGTCAGACATCTTTTTATAGGTGTGACAAAGGTACCGTTGTTATTAGTGTCAGTGTACCCATACTATCGTTAAGATGTAAACACTGATTACCGTGTTCCAGTTCTCAAAGAATGTTTATTTAATCCTTCACGATAACGGCAAAATTATTCTGGCATCCATACAAAGTTATCGACTACTAAGTAGCCACGTATTTATAGCTTACAAGCACACTAATCCCAGGTAGTCACTAGCACAGTACACCAACAGTATCGCTGGTATAGTTGATCACAAATCATCCTAGCAATATGAACAAAGTCATGAGAGGCTAGCGGATGCATGTGTTGAAATAATTACCCATCATCCTGGCGACCACAACTAACTTTATAAATTTGGCTACACAAAAAACACTTGTCACAAGTACGAACAACTACAACTGCTGCTTTAAATCCAGTCCGTTCCACGTGAAATAATTTCCACATTTCAGGGGTACCAAACAGACAAATCCGTTCACAGAGCTGGTAAATACTAACTGCCGTGTATTGCTCTACCAGTTTGTCAGGTCTCCTAACCTCCCCGTCACCCACAACACTCAGTTACTCATAAAGCCCTGCGGGTCCATTCACAACACGTTTGACCAGTCATTGACCTGTCTGCTGTAATGAGTCTAGTCGTTGTTTGTCTTTCTCTCACAGGTTGTGGTAATATTGACTCAATACAGGCAGTAATATAGATAGAGATAAGGAAACTGATAGATATATTAAAATAGGAATACAAAATGTAAAAGGACTTTTCTTGGCACTAGAGAATTTGAGTCAACAGAAATTAAAAGAAATATTAAATTTAAATGTTTAATTCTAATGTCAAATCAATACTGTTGTGTGGAGCGGAAACATGGAGAACAACAATGGCAATTACAAATAAATTTGAAACATTTATTAACTGGTGCCTGTGCAGAAAGAACGGTATGAAAGAATCACTAATGTAAAACGTTGCATGCAATAGCAAAGGATAAAATGACTTGGCATTAGTTGGTTGGGGGGGGGGGGGGGCCTGTGCTCCATTAAGGGTTAGAAATGGTAGAAGAAAAAACGAATCTTGGCTGAAGAATTTATGAATTATCAACGAAGAATTACATAAATTGTGGATGTTAAAAACAAAGGCTGACACTATTGAAGTAATTTAGTTACATCTTAAAGAAAAAGGGAGCCGCGGTAGTGTAGCGGTTAGACGTTCGCCTGAGGATGGTAAGGTCGCGTGTTTGGGTAAACGGAGCAGGACTTTTTTTCTCCTAAAAATAACCTTTGCTCCCAGGTCGACCTAGACTTGAGTGGGTAACAGATACAATAATGGGAAGTAAAGGCGACCCGCATAATGCAAACAACATATCCCACCCGAGTGCCTATTGGTCTATACAGTAGAAGACAAGCCCAGTATGCACAATATGTCTGGCGTGGGAAGGTTCCTTTTACTTTATGTTAGTTTTATTAATTTTAAGAATGTTCTCGACTATCAACAATACCATCGCAAAGGTGAGCCAATCTTTGGTCGTGACCGCCTGTGTTTTGATAAGCTCCAAATATTTGTTTACCTTATCCACGGCCTTCACTTCAAAAACCGGCCCAGGTCAATGCATCAAATGTAGGTCACTCGTGGTGATCCTTGTGTGAGGACTTCAAAATTACACCACCGGACCTTGTCACAGGTCCCGACAGCTGCGGCCATCTGATCAGATTATGAGTCCGGTTCTTTGGCGATCACTTCAGGGCGGCGGCTGAACCATCAATGTCCAGTTAGGTGGGAGAGGCTACAACCACAAGAAACAAGAACGGAGATAACCGTTGACAGATCCCGCAGCCAATAATTGTCCATTGAATATTATTATTTTCTGCTTTGGATATTACATTCAACCTGGAGTCTCCTGTTCTAGTGTTCAGAAATGAAGCATTGGCTAGTCAGTCTACCCGAGGATTTCTTCACCACATATGGATACTCTCATGGTCCTGTATTGGGTAGTGGAATGAGTGGTGAAGTTGTGCTCGCCATTCACTTGTCAATCCTTCAAACAAGAGAGCTGTGAAGATACTGTCATTGCTGACTGCTGATAGAGGGGCTAGAAATAAGAGGTTGTTTGATAGAGTGGTCAGCATTTTACGAGGGCTGTCTCACCCACACGTCATCAAACATAATATATCTGTCAGATGTTCGGAATAGTCGTAAGCAATAATTGACATTTCCTTGGATCAATGTTTAGTTATAATGAAGCCCCGCCCTGGCTTCTGCTGGAGGTCATAAATATAGCCGGGCCTGACATATGGCCTAACGGCTGAGCGGGACCTCTTCACGGGTGATCCTCATCGCATGGTGGCACTTTGTTTTACCGGGTGTATAGTTTGTGTGATGTCCTTGGGAAACAACAATGAAAGAAAGAAGAATTTTCGTTTCATCCTTGCGCAGGAGCTACGCTTATCTCTTTTGTATAGTTCTAATTTTAGTAATGCACTGCGTGAACAGTACACTTGTTACCACTCAGCTTGCCACTCCTTCCTCACAGTCCTCACAAATGGAGGAGAGGAACGATCCTCAACGGTTGGAGGTTCCGCCACAAAAGCTATGGTAGATCCCAAAACCCGTTTCACGCTCAGAGGGATGACTGAATCGCGTCATTGTCGCTTGTGTGCCGCTCACGTTTGATCGATCGACGTCTGGGAAAGATATACTTTAAAAATGATCCATAAAAGTGGGATCTTAGCCCACTTGGTTTTGTATTCACTCGTTTTTTTTTTCTATATAAGGGGCTTCAATTGACATGTCCAGTCATTTATTCCCCCCCCCCCCCACCCCTCTGTCGCGTGCGGATGTGCACTAGAACGCACTAGTACTGAGTGAGCAAAACAATACGTAAGGTCGTTACGGAAGTGTTGTCAAAAAGGCATTCGATGTTTACAGTCTGAATGAGACAGCCGTGTGGATCCTTGAGGATGCTTTACCCCGGGATGCCACTGACGGAATGGTAATCAAAGTTGGATCCTTGAGGACGCTATACCCCGGGACTCCACTATAAACCTCAGCAGAATGCTGGTATATTTACTTTCCTCATTACGCCGGTATACTTATACTACCTTGTTCAAACTGCAGAAGAGCAGATCGAGATGACCTTCCGGATTCCAAGTCGGTCTGAGATCGATGTGATTGTCCGGATTCCATGGTCGGACTGAGATCGTCGTGATTGTCCGGATTCCAAGGTCGGACTGAGATCGATGTGATTGTCCGGATTTCCAAGATAGGACTGAAATCAATGTGACTGTGACTGTTCCAAAGTCGGGCTGCGACCCGTTATTTGCTAGGAAGTCAGTTGATGTACGAGCGGGCTCGGTTGGTGGGTTTGGATTATTAATTTCACATTTTCCCCTTCTGTTGATCATTGCTATTGTCACTACAACAATGGAACCTATCATGTATCGTTCGTTGTTCTACCGTTTGAGAGCATTGAAGTCCCTAATATTTTACCCCACTTGGCCTCTTTGATCGTTGGTACGCCGCACATCAGCATAAAGCCGCCGCAAGTCACACCCTCTCCCCGCATGCGGTGTCGACGTAGTGAAGTGACCTGGCAGTTTGTCTGGTGCTATGAAGGTCGTGGATTCGCTTCACGGCTGCGGCTATCGGTTTACGAGTGCACATTTTTCTAGATCCCTAATGTTTGTGGCCGAAATTAACCGGGTTGGTTCTTTGTGTGAAGTCTTCGGAGGCAACTAGAAATTACTAGAAGTCTAATTCCATGTTAAAGAAAATATCCCAGCCCTTGCCGGGCATTGAACCCAGAACCTCTAGCACTCGAGGCGGTCACCATGCCTCAAGACGATGCAGCCCCCGCCACCTAAACCTGGGTTAAGAGAGCAAAGAATTGTGCCGTTGCACCTAGTACACAATTTTGAACTTTCATTTAATTATAATGTAAATAAAATATAATGAAACATATAACTGATGTAATTGTTGACTGATTTTGTAAACTCATTCGTGCACTTAAATGTTTATATAATAAAACTTCTCGCTGGTATGCTTAAGAATGATTTAATATGACAATTCTTGCATAACTGAATTTTATATTTTCCCACTAAACATGTATATTTTTTGTATTTATCAATCAGTCAGCATAACCTCTACAGAAGGTTGCTCTCGCCACGTCACGCTTGAAAGTTTGTCTTTTTTTCTAGCATTTTCTCAGCCCTATGTGCTTTCATAGCCAATACATCTTCTCGGAGGTCAGCCTCTGTCTCTTTATTCCGGAAACTGCACCCCCTCAATTTATCGTAGACATAGCTATAACTGTTCTTTATTGTTAGGATTTTGAATGTTGCATTCATTATTTGTTAGATAGTTGTCATATATAGCAGGTCTTTTGCAGAATATTCGCAGCTGAAAAGACAAGAGGAACAGAACCAAGGAAACTAAATGACAAACATTAAAAAAAATGAATAATACCATCAAATGCAATCGTTAGGAACACAAGACTAGGCTAACGTTTAAAAGAAGAAAATAGTATGTGCAAAAGAAATAGGAGATAAACAAGTGGAAATACACGTAGAGGAAGATAGGCAGGCAAACTGCATTGTAGAAATAAAAGTTTAAATAATGGAAATAAAAACAATATTATCAGTGTAAAGCAAGCTAATTTTATTCTTCTATCAATATATCTCTGCACGTGTAAAATTGTTCAATACAGTGAAACTTAGAAAGAAAAAAAAAACATAATGTTTCATTAGCATCTTTAAAGGTTGCCAAGACAATTTATGTAATTCCGTGTTTTGCCTAAGAGTAGCCATAACAATAATCCTCCAACAGTGTAGCCTTGACGAAAAGGTTTATATAAATCAATATTAAAAAGATGCACCTACGAGTATTTGGGCATTTCTGGGCTTTATCACAGTATTGCAAACCCTATGTGTCAAGCAAAATAACCCCACCAAAATCTATAAGCTCACGAAATGTATTCACTAAATATAAACCTTTAGGTTCAATAGTTTGACAGTTACTAGACTGCTTTTACAAGAGCTATTCATAATCAACCTCCGACTGGCTGGTAAAAATAAACAGTGTGTTATAGCAACACCGTTTATTGCTTGTATTATTCAGTAGTCGTTTAGCTCACCATGCATCAACATACGGTCGCATTTCTCCACAGGTTCAGGAATCGCGAATGAATAAACACGAACACTGTTGCTGCCTTTTTGCACCTGCCATAGACGCTGAATACCCTAGGTAGGCCCCTATTCTCCATGGATCCAAAAACCACATGTATCACTGTTTTCCTTTTGCCGTGTTTCCATTGCTAACATTAGGCATCACATGTTGAGGTCCCAGGTCTGCTACGGTAATAATCCCTGTTTTCTATCGTGTCCGGAAAATACCTCACAAATCGCTGTTTAGATTTGCACGTCATTGATTTGCACAGAGACTTCAACTTTGTTAACAATCCTAGTCTTTGTCTACCAGGAATAGAGTTCATTATTTAGTAGGGTTTCACATCCAGATCACTCATGTAGTTTAGCCAGTCAGCCAGGACTGTTGCCCGTGGTGTGGACACTGCAGTATACAAGCCCCATCTGTGGGAACCAGATAGGATTCTGAACTATCCCTTAATATATGGCTGCCATTCACCATTAGGTATTATACTTCTGTCCTAACCTGCACCACAAACACACTAATTTATGAACTTATTTGTCAGAGAACCTGTACGTCGGCGTCTGTGGCTTAGGCATTACGAACGCGATTTGTAATGCCGGGGTGCCAGGTTCGATCCCAGCTGCAGCCTTGCACCTTGCGTTGGTTTCGACAGTGGTATCAAGAAGCCGACCATCTAGAAGGCAATGGCAAACTACTTGACGTAAACTTGCCTAGAAAAACCACAACTGCCAAAAAATGTTGGGGTTGGTTCTGCAACGTCCTTTATAGGATACGCAACCAACTAACAAAACATGTGAACTTCAAAGATAACTTTAATAAATACATGACTAACTGAAACAAGTCTACAACAGTTAAAATAAAATCATGTTAAAGATCATCACCAAGAGCCTTGCTAACTTGCTTGGGAAAATCATACCTGGAAACGACTTTCGATCTCCTGTGTATTGGGCACACAAGGCTATACCTATATTTACATAAACCAATCGGCACTTGATGTGATGTGGTCAGTATGAGACCGGCAGCCTTTAATTCCCAGGACTATACCTGGTACCCACTTAAGGTTGGGTCGACCTGAGAGCCCAACTAATTTTTGAAAAATGCCGACTCAATCGAGATTTGAACCCACGACCACGAACGTCTAGTCGCTACATCACGGTGGCTCTCCATAGAAATCTTAGCTTCTAAAATAGGTATGGATTGTCCTTTAATGTTTCTCAGAAACTCTATATCTGATCTATTACCATCATACAGTTCCCCTTTGTATTCTGTTCATTTTTAAAATTTTATTATCCTGTCCCAAGAACTAACATTTCATCTTCCTTCCATTTTAAGCAGTCTGTGCTGTTCTTCTTCTCTGTTATTACATTTCATTGTCAGTACATGGGATTTAAGATTTCCCCGTGATTTGTCCCAACCTCTGTACGCATCTCATCCATCCAAGTTTTTATAGCCCCTTTGCATTTGTTAATAAATTCTGTATACTTTCTTGAATATTCTTCTTAATAATTCTTTTTCTTTCCTCTTTCCTCCAATAACCGTAAAATTTCGTTTGCAAACCACCTACCCACCACCATCACCCCCCCCCCCTCCCCACCCCACTCCCCAACTTTACGTGTCAATGGAACTCATTTGACGTCTGTTGAATTGAATCGTGTAACATTTTCTAATGTTCATTAAACATCTGCATTAGTTTCATTACATTATATCTGTCTAGTACAGGGACATGGTACTTCTCCTTATTTATCCATATTAGGCACATTAACTACTAGACTTACAACTTATAAGACTCACAACCATCCGTACTTTCGAATATAAAATAAAAATTAATTTAAAAAAAAATAGTAAATAAACACAGGTGAATACATTGAAACATGGAAAAGTTGACGGAAATTATGGATATTTACAGTCTGGTTTAGCTGCGGGCCATGCGCCTTGTGTTGGTTTCGACAGTGGTATCAAGAAAGCCGACCGTCTAGAAGCAATGGCAAACTACTGGACGTAAATTTGCCTAGAAAAACCACACAACAGCCAGGGACTGTTGGGGTTGCTTCTGCAACGTCCTGTAAAGGATACGCAACTAACCTTTATAGTCTGGTTTATTTTTATCAAGTGTCTGGTGGTCATGTCACGGAGTTTTGAGGTATTATATAGATCTAGCTGTCCTACTAGCTAGCTCGCCTTCTCTCAATGACCACCACCTGTTTTGGTCCACGGCCGCTTATTCAATATATTCGCGGCTAACCTCTATATCTAGAGGCCTTTCCACCATCTGCCATCCGGTGGACGCGCCTTGTAGTAGGACAGGCTCCTACTCCACGCTTCTCCACGCTTCTCCACGCCCTGAGGCCTGTTGGGTATCTAGTGCTTAACATATGTTTTATAGACCAAGTGACACAGTAGGTGACGTGGTCAGCATCACACCTGCCGCATTTACTTCCCAGGACCTGGAAGCCAAGGTCATTTTTGAGAAAAAGTCTGGCCTTCATCAGGACCCCCGACCTTCCGATCCGCAGGCGAGCGTCTAGCTCCTAGACCACGGCGGCTCCTTTCTTACCCAAGGTAGATAAAATATATGATATACTCAATATAAATAGCTCTACAAATTATCAACGACGAAAGATTGGACTGTGCGTCAAAAAAAACATGCACTTTAATATGAAAAAGAAATCACTAGTAAATTAAGTCCATTATACTTTAAAAATCTTCAATAGTGGTATTAGTACATGTTACCCCACTAGGACATCACACAAGCGATAAACACCCGATGACACAAAGTGCCACCATGTGGATGAGGATCACCCGTGGAGAGATCCTGGAATCCGCGTTTAGCCATTAGACCATATTTATGGCTGGGCTATATTGAGGCCTCTGGCAAGAACCAGGGTGGGGCTTCAAATTAATGAAAAAGTGCATCCCACAAGGAGATGACTAGGTTGTTAAATATTTCCATCAGAAAGGTTAATATCACACTCATCCTTAAAATACTTACACAATTCGCATAACATTCAATAAGCATTAGTAGAAAATAAAAACATAAATATTCATTAACAGGGAAAAAACACACTCAAGAATATAGACTATATTATAGTAAAGATAGATAACAACAAAAATAACAAATAGTAAAGATAAACAAATAATAGCAAACCACCATTTTGTAATTCTGATTTCAAAAACTCAAGTAGCTGGCACAAGACCTCTTATGAAAATAATACTATTTATAAATTAGTTTCAACAGTTATAGGACAAATAAAATGGCGCTATATCAGACAAATTTGGAGAAAAAAAAAGACCTGAGAGTCACCAAAAAGGCACTACTCAGAGGGTTGCGTGGTCTCGAGGCATGGTTTCCGCCTCGAGTGCTAGAGGTCCCGGATTTAATCCCCGGTAAGGGCTGGGACG